ATTGCCAGTAATATGTTCAACATGAAGTGTACATACTTATTGATTAAGTACATGTCGTCAAATATATGATCAGTTTTTGTTTTATTAACAGTTGGTCAACAAAACTGCAGCCTTTGGAACTTAGTTGCAAAGTAAAGAAATAAAATATAATAATCCATTTAAGCGTCTAATGGATGGTGACTTATTTGCAAATCACAAATAGTACAAATAATAATTTTTATCCCTTTCTGTTGCCAAAACAATGTTGTAAATATGGGTATGAATGTCTTTTTAAAAATTGTATTCTTTCTTCTTTTGAAATGGATGCTTTTAAAGTCTACAAACAGAAAACTGAAATTACTGCATTGTGTGCATCTGTATGAATAGGTACAGATACACAGATACCTACATGTCCATAAAGGTTTAGATGTAAATGCTAGTGTTTCGGTCTTGACTGATACATCCCAATTTCTACAAGAAATATAAAAAAAGCTCAGTCAACTGTCAGGTCAAAGTTATAACAGAATTTTCCTGAATTTTTCAGGGGCAGCATTTCTGGCCATTACAACCGTCTATGCAGAAAGCGGGTCTGGGTTTGTAGTACCAAGTGCTTCTGCCAAAGCAGGTGTAGATGCCCTGTGCAAGTGAGTATTATTTAAAAATGCATTACTTTTTCTTGATACCTTTGATTCTCTCAAGGAGAGAATCAAATTTAGCTGTTTTCCTGCTTCTCCTGTAAACCTTCATTTTAGATCTGTCTATACTTTTCACAGAACTGTAGTCTGCTCATTTAGCAGCCTTACATTTTGCAGCTATATTAATCTCTGGGTGCAGAATATTTAATTAATTTCTGCTGATTTCTAGGTCTCTTGCAGCTGAGTGGGGTAGATACGGCATGAGATTCAATGTGATTCAACCAGGTCCAATAAGGACAAAGGTAAATTATTACCCATTAATAAATTAACTGAGTTCTTTGCAGTGACCAGAAGCACTGCCCCACACAGGGTTGGGTATGGATTTAACTCCAGTTTTTGGCAAAACCGCACCCATTGCAAACCAATGGTTTGCTTAACGATTGCGAATTTGATTAACCACAAAGGTCACAAAAAAGGCCATAAAATAAGTAGTAAAATCGGGTCGATCAGATGAGTGACCTGATTTACAACTACCCGGAGTTACAGCTGTGTCGTAACTCAAGGAGTTCCTATAATTATGAGTGACATTTTAGAATTGCTTCCTTGTGATCACATTTTTTTTCCTTTTGTTTTATTGTTCTTTTTTCTTCTACTTTCTTTTTGCAAGCCACAAATCTTTTTGCTACAACAATCATTTTTTCCCCCTGGTTGTTGTTGGTTTTTTTTTTCCAGGGAGCCTTCAGCCGCCTAGATCCCACAGGGATCTTTGAGAAAGAAATGATCCAGAGAATTCCTTGTGGTCGCCTGGGAACTGTGGAAGAGATCGGCAACCTTGCCACCTACCTCTGTAGTGATTATGCGAATTGGGTTAATGGAGCAGTAAGTTGATCCTGGGTGCATGAAGCTCACTGCTGCTGTTAGAAAAGTGTAATTACACCCAAGCGCCACCTGATTCCTTGAAGGTGTTTAATTCCAGCGTTTTTACATCAAGCTCTGTGGGCATGATGAGAATGCTTTATGAATCACTCTTTAACTTTTTAAAAACTACCTACGGCCTAGTGGAAAGAATGCTTTATGCAAATTTAGTACAGTTCAGTAAGTCACAGAAGTTGAGTACTTTAAAGGTATTTCTTCTTGTACAAAAGTTCCACTGAAGTAAGCTAGTTCAGCTGATAATTTGAATTTCTTAATGGAACAACCTCTGCATCAATCTTACAGGTCATTAGAATGGATGGTGGGGAATACGTGTCTATGGCTGGAGAATTCAATGAATTACGTAAGGTAATAATTTACAAGGAAAACTTTGTAACAAAAGGCTACAAAATGGAAAACTCTTATCAGGCGTGGTAATCAGTTAATCCTGCCGTCCATTCTGCTATGCTTCCCATCATATTTCTTCATTTTTCCTCCCAATGTCAGCTTTTCATGCTTGGTTAAAACAATCCAGGCCTCATGAGGCTATTGCCACCTCTATCCACCATTTTTAAGAGTTATTTTTCTTCTTAGAATTTTAAAATGTTACTATATACTTTTGATTTGAGTACTAAGCTTTAAGTCTCATTGATTTACTTGAGGATCTGTTCTGCTCTGAATGCAGTTTAAGAACATTATCCCTGGCAGGGTCATGCCCATTATAGCGACACATTACATGATGATAGTTTAAAAAAATCAGCATCTCAACTAAAGTGTTTTCTTTTCTATGCTAGGTCACCAATGACCAGTGGAATATCATGGAACAAATGATACGAAAAACAAAAGGCTCATAATTTACATTTTTATGTGACTTTTTATATAGCTTCTTTCTAAAATTTTCTGTATTCTAGCAATAAAATCCACCGCTGCTGATAATTATCTGTATGTCCATGTGTATCCATTTTATGTTCACAAACTCCAATGTTGCATTCTTTGTAGGCAATATTTTAACAGACATACACAAATTGTTAAATGTTAATACATTCATAGTTCCTTTTTCTTTACGAGAAGTTCTCAATTTAACAATCACAATTGGGCCCAGAATTTCCATTATAAATTGTTGAGGTTGTAAGTCAAGCTGGACTGGATCTTATGACAACTTTTAGACAGGCATTAAACTAATCACTGCAGTCATTAAGCAAATCATGCTGTTAAGTGAACCCAGCTTCCCCAAAGGGTTGGGTTTTTTGTTGTTCTTTTGCCAGAAATTATCAAAAACAGTCGCAAATCTTGATCACAAGACCACAGGATGCTGCAACCAGTCATAGATGTTAGCCGGTTGACAAGTGCCTGTATTGTGGTCATGTGATTGCAGGAGTGGTGCAACAATTGTGAGTACAGGTCATCACTCACTTCCAAAGCCATTGTAACTTTGAAACATTGTTAAATTAACAGTCGTAAGTGGAAGACTATATTATTGTTTATGGTCAGTAGTCTACCTTGAGCAACAAGTGGATTTTTCACTTGTTTGAATTGTCTAGAATCTTAAGAATGGGAGTTGCCTCTGTACAAATATTACCATTTAATATTAGGCTTGTGAGATAGGGCACTATCTTTTCAGTCTACATTTATATTAAGTGAAAATCAGACAGATGTCCATAATTCGGAAGGAATTGCATTTGAATTACAATGATAATATATAAAATTATTATTTGTAGCTACAGCATTGGTAAGAAAACATTTTTAAAAATACACTGTGAAACATACTTTCTACAATGAAGAAAAATAAAGATGTGTTTGGGCTATAGGAAGCATCATGCTGCAGTCTACATAAAAGGAGAAATTGTGCCATTTAATAAAGGAATTGAAGAAGTGGCAGGGATTAAATCTAAATGCTTCCACATTTAGTATAGAAATTGAATCTTCTAATCATATCTTGATCTTATGTTGACAATATTGTAAGAAGCAGTGTCCACTAGAGGGAACCATAACACAATATTCTAGTTATAAAACCTGAAAATAATTGACAGTTTGTATCACATACTCCCTTCATTTGAAACCACCAGCAGACATCACTGATGCAATGAAATAAATTCACATGCCATCCTGAGTTGATGCTGTTCCGATTTTTTGATGCTGACAAAAAATGGAATGCATCCTTGAATTGAAATTTTTTTTGCAAATGTTGGCAGAAGCATTTAATATGATCACCTTTTGGAAGTTATAGGAGCGACAGTTCCCTTCATTCCAACTTGGCATTTAGGACATTGGGGATAAACTGGATGGCCCTGAAATCTGATGTGTTTGTTGGTGTCTGCTTAATGCACAACTGCTGAATTCTAATTTTGTCACAGACTTCTAAGAACAATGAAGGTGGAACAAGATTCAGTTCTCAGTAATTGACACCGCATTGTATAAAGTAAACCAAATAATCCGTAAAAGAAATCTGAAAGTATTATACAGTGACTGAATTCGGACCACAGTCTTAAGGTCAGTTGGATTGGTGGCATTTTCACATTCTCTTTAACTTTATTCAGATTGCTATAGTTTATTAACTTGTGCTAATCAACTTGATTTGGAGGGGGGGTGTAATTTAATAAACCTGTACTGCATAAAGCCAGAAATAGATTAATTCTGAAATCCAAATAAATATATGTGAAAATCCAGCTTCAGAGCAGACTTTGTTTTGTCTAGCTTGGCACTGTCTAAATAAGGGAGAAACATATGGCCTTTCTTGTGTTGTCATATGGCAGTTTCCCTCACTTGTAGTCATCATGGCCAGAAGTAGAGATAAAAATCTTTATAAAGACCACCAATGTATCCTCTTTATTCTAAAAAGCTCTCCAGGTTTCAGTCAGGAATCTTTCTCAGCCCCACCTGCTAAGATCTCATACAGATCTTGAAAATTTGCCTGAAAATGATTTCTATCACTAAGCTGTAGTGTTTTCCAGGGGTGGGTTCTAAATTTTTTTACTACCGGTCTGTAGGCGTGTCTTATTTTGTGGGCATGGCTTATGGTCATGTGACAATTCTTTAGGATTTAGCAGAGGTACTGGTCTACCAGGCTTTTAACTGCTTGCAGAGCTGTACCGGTCTACCCATTTATTTTTGCAGGCACTGGTCTCATGTATTTTTGCAGGCACTGGTCTACTCATTTGTTTTTGGATGCACCGGTCTACCACCAAACTGCCTTTTACCACTGATCAGCTGTAGGGCGGCCCTTTGAAACCCGGGGCAAGAGTTTAAACAGTTTTTCCTTATAGCCCATCAGCTGGGACTCAGGAGGCAGCAATAGATTGGGGGTGGGGCCAAATAAAAGGTAAGAATAACGCAGGGGGGCGGGGGGCAGAACCAGTTTGGTGACATCATCGTCACCGCTACCGGCTCGGTGTAACCGGGCGTAACCGGAAGGAACCCACCGCTGGTGTTTTCCTTGAATGACGTTGACATAAAGGAAAACTAATGGTGCTGGGATCATTCTTGAGTACATAATTTATTTTCTTTTATGAATATGAAAGAATTTATGAAAGTTATTTGACACCCAAGAAAAGCAGTGCAGTTGAAAAAGATTAGAGAGATGATACCAAATCTCAGGGTATACAATGTATCACTGTTACCTTTACATTTTCAACTCCACTTTGAAGTAATCACATTCATAGAATAAAGATATTTTTTCTTTCGTGTAAAGAGTTGGGAGGGAACATCCAGCAAAATATAGCATGCACCCTTGTGCTTTATCATAAAATATACTAATATGAATTGGTAATTAATATTCATTGGCCTAATTTCTGAAGATTCACAGCAGCTGTTCTTATTAAATGCCATGGGCTTTGTAGCCACACAGTATTAACAAAAATTAGGGCATGTATATTTAGATGCTTAATTATAGGTTCATCTTGAGTAATATTTGAGTCACTCAAGATTGATATTTTGATCAATAGGAGTATTGATCCTGTATGAATAAATACCTACCATGGTAAATAAAAGGAATATCCTGTAAGACGAGCTTTTTCAAAAGCCATAATTATATATCAAGTGACTTATTGATGTTATGATATAATTTCCAGTTAGCTAAATGATTTCACTGTAACTTTATCTCTTCATAGTATTCCTAAATGCTAATAATTAAACAGTCCCATAACCATATGAAGCTGCCTACTACTGAAATAGTATGCAAATCCTTTGATATATAACAGCCCATACAAGTTACCATTGTTTAAATGGTTAATACCTGCAGTAGAATTAAGACCTGATTAAGCAGTAACCTTGATGCAGTAACTTTTCTGATGAAGAAACACTCATAATGGTAGTACAAATTTAAAAAAAACATACAAGCACTTGCTAGTTGGATCTCATTTGTATCAGTGAAATGTACATTCTAGTCATATGGTAGGAAAAATTGCAGCCTTATATTAAGTAACTTTGAAAATATAAAGGGATAGATTGATCAAGAAAACATACAGTAATAAAATAGATGCATCACAAGTTAAATTTAATAGACTTGGGAATATTATCACATTTGTTTGGAAGTTATGTAGATCTGATTGAAAGCAGTGAATAAATTTCAGCCCAATGAAATAGTTCCCCAAAACCAATTAAAATAAATGAATGTATGAAGATTTGATAAACAATATTTTAAATGTTTTATATAATGCCTTTTGAATTGATACGATTGAGAGTCAGCTTCTATAGTTTCCTTTTGCAGTAAACAGGTGGATTATTGGATTGTTACAACTAAATGACAAAATCCTACCCAAAATAATTAAATGGAATTGTGATGTAGGTATGAGTCAGACACATGGTTTTCTGTGCTCCTTCAGTCATTTCTAGGTTAGGTACAGTACATGGATGATAAAGCAATTTTATTTGCACTGAATATGCCTCAACCGTTTATAAAAATTAGGAGATAAATTGACTATTTCTTGTGGAAATTGGACGATTTGCTAAATTGGAAAATTAGCTGGGTTGTCAATTGATCCATGTGATTGTGTATCCTTTATTAATTATCTGTGATAAAACAGAATATCAAACAAATTGTGTACTTGTATATTAGCATATTAAATTTAATTATAGATTACACAGAATGATGTAAAAACAGCAGTTTGCAAGAGTTATGCAAAATATGGAAATAGTTTTAGAAAAATGGACTGACATTCTCTGACATAACAGCATTTACAAATGCTAAAGATTGAAAGTAAAATATGAGGCAAATTTGTGTATTGATTTTTAACTGATTAGAAATATGCCATTTGTCCAGTAAAAATACAATGTTGTTCTTGCCAGGCAACAAGGAAGCTTAATAACTCAGGAAGTTCAGCACCTTCACATCCAGAGCCTCTCTTGACCTTGGTAGTGAATTTAAGGAAGCTGGAGAGCAAGACATTTATAACATATTGGAAGTTGACGTGATCATAGTAAACTAATGCACTGCTGATGTGTCTATGCCCAAATCCTTTCTCGACTGAAACTGGTTTGCTAATAATGAACTTCTTAAAACATTTCTCAGTGGTTTCAGGTATATTTAGATATGGGATATCTCCTAGAACAAGGGTGTCAAAACTGGCAGCCCACGGTCCAGATGTGTCATGCACAGGCCACACTCACCCCAGCTCCGCAAAGGGAAAAAAAGTCATGTGACGGCAACAGGTTGGACACCCATGTGCTAGAAAGAGGTGACTAGTCTTTTTGGACTGATTGACATAGTACACTTGACAAAAAGGCTGACCATCACTTTCTAGAAGATGAAGCCACCAAACGATTCTGGTGGATCCCAACAGCCTCCCTCTTATCCAGGTCCTACATTCCTTTAGAAGAAAAGGAAGGAAAAAATAAAAAAGTCCACCCTCATCCTAAACTGTTTTTGAATGTGTGTTTCTTTCTGACATTGTCGAAAATCTATTTGCTTAATGGAGACCTAGCCGATGCCAATCTCAGCTGTGCTCTTAAAACCTTTTCCCATGTCTCACAGAAACAAAGCGATGTTTATTGGTAAATGCATTGACAGACTGGCCCGGGGTAATTTAAGACATCCTCTTTAGTTACAAAAGCTGTACATTACGAACATAGTAGAAACAAGCTGAAAAGAATGTGCCACATAAGCTGGCTAATTATCTATATGCGATTTTAAATTTACAAAGTATAAAAGAAATAAAGCCTACTCTCTTATAATGCACAGTTAATTTTGTGGGGTTTTTTTGTTTTTTAAGATACAATATATTACTAGCTGGAGTGGAAATGAGAGGAGGACTCTTAATTTTCCCCAGCGCAGAGGATGAGAGCAAGTTCTGTTCTGTAAAGTTTTCCTCCATCAGACAAGGCCATAATGTTCTTCTTGTAGGTTGCAAGATTATTGATATCTAATTCCTGTTTTTAAAAAAAGAAAACATATTTTAAAGCCACTAGATATCATTCCTCTCAACTCTACATCCTCCAATAGTGTTGAATTGTATTTCTCACATTTACCCTGACGTGGTTGAGAAGAGGAGCAGTTGTTAATTCCAAGCCGTTTGAAAGGAGTCAGTTTAGAAATGTTTGCGAGTGTGAGAATAATTATGTATTTCTGAGATGGTGTGTATGTGTTGTGCTAAACTAAACTACTGTTTGTTTTTTGTGTAGTTATTATGAATTCAACTATTGCAGATTATAACCCTTGCTTTAGTGCAATATGCAGATAGTCCTCAACTTACAAATGAAACAAAATGTTAAAAAGTTATGGTATTTATGTAATTACTTACAAAGCACATCTAAATTACATTAAAGTAACCAAAATATCGTTATCGTCCCCAAGGCGTGTCACAACTTTTGAGCACCCCTAATGTTTGAAAGTTGAAAAATTTTAGACGCCTTATCAGTTCATTTAGTGACCATTGGAAGTTACAATGGCACTGAAAAAAGTGACTTATGATCAGTGGTGAAATCCATTTACCTTCGCTACCGGTTCAGGAATGGGAACGCACGTGCCTCCTCTGCACATGCCAGAGCCTTCTGTGCATGCAGAGAGGGTCAAAAACGGGACATAATGAAGTCCTGGCAGGTGGGAGGAGCCTCCCGCTGCCGGAGCTTCCGGTTCACACGAGCCAGATAGATCCGGCTGGATTTCACAGCTGCTTATGCCCATTTTTCATATTTATGACCATTGTAGCATCCCCATAGTCATGTGATTTACATTTGGATGCTTGACAACTGAGTCACATTTATGACGGTTGCAGTGTCCTGGAGTCATGTGATCCCCTTTTGGGACCTTCTGACAAGCAAAGTCATTGCTTAACGCACTGTAAGCCGCCCTGAGTCTCCGGAGAAGGGCGGCATATAAATCAAATTAAAAAAAAAAAAATCAACGGGACAGTCAAATTTACCTAACAACAGTGTTACTAATTTAACAACTGCAGTGATTCACTTAACCTGGCAAAAAAGTATAAGATGGGGCAAAACTTGCTTAACAAATTTCTCACTTAACAACATAAATTTTGGATTCAATTGTGGTTGTAAGTTGAGGACTACCAGTATTACCCCATTAATTGTGGGTTATTAAAAAAAAGTCAATAGCTAAAAAGCCCTACTGCATAGCATAATAGTCCTTTGGCAAGTGAGGATTATTTATTTATGTATTTGTTTACTTCTTATTTGTCTCTTAAGGGTCACAGTGGGAAACAGCCAGTGATGTGGTGCAGGGGTGGGTTCTAAATTTTTTTACTACCGGTTCTGTGGGCGTGGCTTATTTTGTGGGTGTGGTTTGATGGTCATGTGACAATTATTTAGGATTTAGCAGAGATACTGCTAAATAGGCTTTTAACTGCTTGCAGAGCTGTACCGATCTACCCATTTATTTTTGCAGGCACTGGTCTACTCATGCATTTTTGCAGGCACTGATCTACTCATGTATTTTTGCAGGCACCGGTCTACTCATTTGTTTTCTTTTAACACTGATCAGCTGTAGGGCGGCCCTTTGAAGACCCGCGGCAAGAGTTTAAACAGTTTTTTTTCCCTCTAGCCATCAGCTGGGACTCAGGAGGCAGCAATAGATTGGGGGTGGGGCCAAATAAAAGGTAAGAATAATGTGGGGGGGGACAGGAGGCAGGAGGGGGGGCAGAACTGGTTCCGTGACATCATATCGTCATCGCTACCGGCTCGGCGGAACCGGGAGGAACCCACCACTGATGTGGTGCCACTGAATGGAACAGTTGAATTTCTGGGCTGGCACAATCAAAACATTTATGTTAAACCAAATAAGGCTTCATGCACACATTTTCAAATTTATTTTTGCAAAATGTGCAAGAAGTAAATCCATTTGGGGAGGGCAAAGAGCCTATTGACTATGGGATGCTAACCTTCATCTTAGCAACCTACGTGAACCCTGCCCCAGGAGTGACATTGTACCATACCAACAACTGTGTTTCCATTCTTTTGTCACTAAGTGTATGTTCCCAACCATTTTACTATGAATTAACTACCAGGGGTGTTGCTAGATATGGACTTCTTGTTTGACATTTATGGTCCTCTTAAGGGAATATGGTTAATTGCTGCTCCCTGAGGGCTGCTTGAAAGAAAACAGTGGAAAGGGGTTTGTGAAAAGAGCAGCTATTTTTGTCTTTGTTAAGACAGAGCATTGTGTGGTCCTTTTCAAATTTATTGTTAATAGGTATTTAGTTCAAAGAAGGAAGACACCTACTATACTTTCAGCCTGGGGATACATCTAAGAGAAGTGGTGGCTGTTTTACTAAAGCAGTGATGCGAATAGATTAATGTAGGAGTAAACTGTGCTGCCTGGTATTACATATACAATTTCATTCCTTTTGTATCCAGAATTCTAAATATAGAGCATTTCAAAAGAACTTCTTGAACTGGCTAGACTTGGGAAGAGAAAAAAGGCCATTAAGTACAACTTAAATGGAAATCTTAGAATTACCTTTTTATTCTTTTCACAGAGATCTTTTAGCAGAGCATCTAATTCCTGTTCATCGATGTAGCCATTCCCATCCTGAAAAGGGGAAAAAAATTTGAGTTTTTCTATTATTCATTCCTGCTGCTTTCATTAACTTGTTGCAGCTTAGAAATACATTGAAAACTTTGATTCACAGACTTTATTTTTTAAAAAAATTCTACTTACTGAATCAAATGTATCGAAAACTTTATTAAATTCTTTTCCACACATTTTAATACCCTAATATTCAAAAGAAAGACAAATATTAGAAGATAAACGAATCAAGATTGCAGTATATGAATATACAGAACACTTTTAGACAGGCATACCTGAAATTTAAGGAGAAAGTTTTCCTGTACTGGCAATAACCTTGGGAGAAAACAACAGGAATTTAGAACAATTCCACAGTGAATAAAGAAGCAGAGAACAGAGGGAAGCAAATCATTTCAATTTTGGAATGCTTGAAGTAACCCATATCCAGTTTGTTAGAGTTATTTCAAGTTGAAAACATTAATGTTTCATTGCAGGTGTTTTCCACTGGAAATTATTTCTAGCTCACACCACTTCTTCAGTGAACAGCTGGTTGAACTCAAAATTGAACATTCCAAATTGAAACTGTTTCTAGGTCAAAATACTTTGCACGGATACATTTCACTCCCTTTAAAGATTAACAGATGCTGAGAAAGTCAAATGAACTGAAACTTCCTATATTTTGTAGGCAAACCCTTTGAGAAGATAGTTTTTTAAAATGTGTATTTATTTGAACATGGAATTAGGCAGTGGTGGGATTCAGCCAGTTCGCACCACTTCGGGAGAACCGGTTGTTAACTTTCTGAGCAGTTTGGCAAACTGGTTGTTGGAAGAAATTATTAAGGCAGAGAACCAGTTGTTAAATTATTTGAATCCCACCACTGGAATTAGGTAAGTGGGTGACCTTGGGCCAATCATTCTCTTCACCCAACTCAAACTCCCAGGGTTGTTGCAGGGACAATAGAAGGAGGAAGGGGTATTGGATATGTTCACTTCCTTAATTTATTTTTAATAACAATAAAGGGATATAAATAAATCAATTGTTGGAAGTAGAGGATATTGCTAGCTGGGCCTAGAAGTGTTGTCGTTTCTTGGAAGTTCTAATTTCTTTCTCAATGTCAAAAATCAACACATGTCCGTATTTGGACAATTGCTTGCTTGGGTTGACCTTTTCCACCCAAGAATGGACTGCCCAGTTTAACCTTGGAGGAACCACTCCAGCACATCCTACAGCACTGGCTTTTCACTAAGTACCACCATTCCTTTTGCCCACCTGCATTGTGTCATGTTCCACAATCAATCAATGAAATTTTCTACCTTTTTTTCTCCAAATATTCTTACCGGGCCATTTCTGTCAGTTCCAGCTTTCCATCATGGTTTTCGTCAAACATCTTGAGCTGAAAAGATTAAGTTATAGTCTATAATAAGTTTATTTTTTAAAAAAATCAACCAGAAGAGGAAAAGTTTGAGTGAAAGCACAGTCCTCTCATGTCTGGGAAATATGCTTAACTTGATGAAACCCAGTAGCCTCCCATGAAGTCATTGTCACCACTTCAGATGTTTGGACTTTTAATGATGTGTACTTTATTACATCATATTCTTCAGCAGCTTTTATATCTGCTTTTACATTTTGTTTTAATCAGGTTGGATCCCAAATCCTGGCGTTGGGTTCTGCAATTAGGGTTCACTGCTGAAAGTTTGGGAGATCTCCAAGAAAGTATAGAAAGTTATGCAGGAAGAATTGCTAGTTGTCATGTTCTCCTCTAAAAACCATCAGATCCAAAGTCATTCTTTACATAGAAAAACAGCTGACAATGCAGTCTTTTAGACTGGTTTTCTAAGACATTTTTCATATTGATTAAGAATTCTAAGCCACTTTAAGTGTAGGTTAACAAAGGAAAATTGGATCAAATTTAATATAAATGCTGTACAAATGTTAGACTTTAGTGGAAACTAAATTTATTATTTATACCACACCACCTCTCCAAATCCACCTTCTGAGGCTGATATTGACAAAATTTTCCCAATGCAATGGCAGTTCACTACAACATTAATGTAGCTGAAACTATGTTATGAATATGCAGTACATGGCATTCCCAAAATTCTCTTGAGTTTCAATTGATTATCTCCAAAAGATTTTGAGAGCAGACTTTCTTAACATGATGTCCTCAACTCCCATATTTCTCTGCTGGGATGGTCATCGTAGACAATTCTGTAAATGAAATCCATGCAACACAATGCACAAAGATGATAGCAGATTATTCTTGTACACACAAAATGGACCTGCGTTATAGATGAGCCTGCTGGATTTTTTCAGTTATAATTTCAGACTTTTAAAAAATTGCCCATTGTTTATGAAGCCTATGGAGCCAACTAAATTGTAACTCAAAGGGTGAGGTAACAGTCTAAATAGAGTTATGAGATATTATTTTAGGTTCTGTACCTTAAAATGGGGTAGGGCAATTAATTCCGATAAATAAATAGCAGTTCTTACCATAATGTCTGTGTATTCTGATAGTTTTGAATCATCAATCTGTTTGTTTGCTTTCTGCAGTAAATCTTTCAAAAAGTTCTGAAATGAAATTAATATATCAAAAAGCAATATTTTGTCTGATCTACTTGCAGAATAAAATATTTTTCTTCTAGTTAATTATGGATAGAGAAATAACATTTTTCCTCACTTTTCTATTAAAATATAAAGAGTATAATCGTAATTCATACATGCTTGGGGGTAAGAATCATTGACCTTAATAGATCTTCTTTCTAAGTAATCATGGATTCCCCTATGTAATGCCAAGGACAGAAGTATAGTGAGTAACACTCATGCCAATTGGAAACTTAATCTGTCTCCTACATTCCAGGTGCCTAGTCTTCTCAATGGGGATGATCAATAGATTAGCCTGCATTATACCATAAAGTAAATTTAATTAATAGCACTATATTACAGAAATAATTGTCCAACTAGCAGGCATAAGGAAAGCTTCTGTTCCAGTTTATGTTATGAGTGTCACATAGTTGGAAGCTGCAACTCATTCCTCTGACCAACTGGTAGGTCTGTTGGTTACTTCATGAATGTTGGTTGTTTTGTGATTTGGGGTACTTGAAGACGGTTGGAGGTAAGAGTACAAATAGCTTGCCTTGGTTTTTTTTTTTTTTAATAAGGACAGAACTCAAACGTTAGGGAAAGGCGGTACATGACTCATGTGATTAAGTAGTACTGCTTTAGCACTTCCCCATCAACTAGTCCTCAACTTGAAGTTAGAATTTTGTTTCTTAAACACAGTGCTTCTTTGAGTTGTAAATGTCATCATTTGAATGAGTTTCATATCCTGCACAGAGCTTATGTAAGAACGAGACTCCCTTTGGGTAGCTGTATGCTGGGTATGCCTGAGACAAGCAGTAGGTGAGGTCAGAACTAATTTGGATAAGGTCATTTCTCATCAAACATTCCTGATTTTTTCTGATACTGGCTTCTTCCAAGCAACAGGCTATGGGAGAGGGACATCAAGCCCTTAGGAAAACCCTTGGCCCTTTCAAAGGTAATTTCAAATTAGATCACAGACTATGCGTGACCCTAAGGCTACAGGCTTGCCATTCCTGATCAGTCAGTTCTGGTAGTGCCTGTTCTTTTAAATGCATAATTCCATAATTAATGAAGTTGCTTTCCTGACCTTGCAAGAAAACTTTGTTTCCCAGATGGGCAGCCAGTTGCCCTACTTTTGTGACATGATAAAATTCTTTATTAAGCTAGAAGTTTTGAGAGCTGGGGAATTATGAATGCCTATCACAAAAAAAAATAAAAAATCCACATATATGTGTTCTAAATTTCTTTCTTGTTTTATTCTTGGTATTATTTTTTCTTTTAATAGGAATGGGCACAAGTGGGAAAATGTGTAGGAAATTCAGCTGGGCTTTTCTAGGCTGCTCATATTCTAACCAAGCAGAAGCCCAGAATATTTTGGTTATTCTATCTGAGAAAACTATGAAAGGTCTTAAGATCAGATAGGGCATATTTCCTGAGATCGTCTCTGATAGTGTTTCAAAACATAATCTATCCACTTCTGCAAGCAGCTGTCAATGGCCTATTTATTTATTTATTCATTCATCAAATTTATATGGCTGCCCATCTCTCAAAAAAGTGAGTTGGGGTGACATACCATAAAAGTATATATATTTAAAAATATCCAGGAAAAAATGCAATTAAATTGAGGGCAGCAGATGTCAACTACAATGGAACTTCCTCAGTACCTCACTTATCCCCTGGGATATCCTGGCCTGATAGTATAACCTGGTTTTGAGGGATTTCCATAAATCAGCAGGGCTGGAGCTAGCTTCACTGGCTTTTGCCAAGTGCAGCTCCCTAGCAGACCGGATCCATAATATACCTCTTCTGGATCTGATGGGATCTGATGATACTTGTGGGTCTATGCTCAGAAAAACAATTTTGCGGTAGGCCTTCTTAGTACAATAGTCATCCATTATTGAAGATGTTTACGCCAGTTGACACATTAAAATCCTATCGATATCTCTTGACATTATCTGGTTTAGGACATTAAGAAGTTTTATGCTGCATGTAGTTATATCTGGTTTTATTTGTTAATTTTATATCTTTCTCTATGAGCATTTTTAAAACATTTGCTGTTTTAAATTTGGCTGAAGGGCAAAATACCTGTAGCAAAAATAAATCAATTCCTAGGCTGTACTGCTTCATGCTCTTGGAAGATGTAAATATATAGATGAATATCTTTCCTTCATAGAGAAAGAAGTGTTTTTTAAGAAATTTAAGCTAGGCTACTAGGGCCTACCTCCCTGGTGTTTAACTTTCTGTTTTCCCATACAGTGTTTATTCCTGCAATCCTGTCAGAACAATAGTACAATCCAGAAACAATAGTCTGTAGGCATTCATGTATGGCAAAGCTGGTTTCAGAGAGGTTATACTGGCAAACATTCAGCACTAAAGCAATTGGTAGTTGCATGCTGTAGGTTTTCCTCTTTGGAATTATGATTTTTAAATGTTGCTGGTATCATATACTTAGGACAGAAACAGTACAGTAAAATAAACTCTTAGATTGGTACAGCTGTGTTGTACTGCCTCTACTTTTAAAGACTTGTTTTGTTTTCACAACTTCTTTCTGCAAATACCTTTGATGTAGAATGCCCCAAATATTTAAGAAATGATTATAGAGATTTCCTTACCTTAAGCTCTTCAGCATCAATATATCCACTATGGTCACTATCATACTTTCGCCACGTCTGGAATTAAAAAAATAGCAAGTTGCATACATCCATATGCAAAGTTTTTACATCTTGCCAATGCAAATTTTCACAAGACTAAATTTATGTTTACCTGCATGAAATCTTCACTAGACTTCAGTTGCTGGCATCTAAAGAATAATAGGAAGTTTTCTTCTGTTGGCAGTATCTGAGCAAGCTGGAGAAAAAAAAATTAACTTTGATTTAGAATTATTCTGCTAAGTAGAATAAAGTATAAATTAGTGCACTATGTTTCCAGAAGGAAATAAGAAACCATTTCATACAACTGTTTAGTAGTTTGTAAATACCAGGTACAATCTGTGAATAATTTCTTCTGTATCCAATACATTATCTATCACATCACTAAACCAGAAGTATAAAATGATAGAAGTCCTAATGTGATTGATTTTGTTTTAGCTTGGTGCAATATGTGTGTTTTACATTTTATAAGTGGCTAGCAGTGATATGTAAGCTACCCAAGAGTCTTCAGCTTGTTGATCCAACCTGCACATTTCTATAAGACATTTAAATCAGTAATTTGCCTTACTAAATTTCTCCAATTTTCAAATGGCTGATTATCACATGCTAATGAAATCTTAATGTTGTAAAGATGTTTCATTATTAACAGAAGCAAAATAACCTTTACTATGGATTTGGAGATGAGAAAAGGATAATTTTTGTTTTTAAAAGTTAGGGTCTTTTCCACTAATATTTTTAAATTTCAATAATCTTCAGATAAAGAAGGAAGAAAGAATGATAGGTTCTACACTGTATTCCACAATTTCCTTTAAATTATACCATTTAAGGGGTGAAGTATAGTTTCATAAAAAAACAGGGGGAGGAAGAAACAAGAAATTAACTTTTTAACAGTGGAAAAATGACGAAAGGATGGATGAAATGAATATCTAGAAAAAGCAGTAACAGGAGTCTGAGAAGAAAGAAGTAGTGCGTTCAAGATCTTTTCAGAGGAGTATTTGCCTTTAGCTTATTTTCTTGTAGTGCCATCCAAGGAATGTTCTACTTTCAAAATGATGTATCAATTATTTCAATTCAATATAGAAAACAAAGTCAAAATGAAATTTGAATAGTAATGTTAATATTTTGAGCTTTCCCCCATATTGGAGTTACTAAGCCACTAACCTCAGTGGACTGATAGCCCTACATGTGGGAAAAATTACACTAACATAAGATAAAACGAGAAGAAAGGTAGGCAACAGAATGAATGAACATTCTTTCTAATGAGCATCTTAAAAATCCTTGCTCATTTCCAGGACTCAACAGGAAATCACCAATCTTTTGATATTTTATGATTTAGGTCAACTGCTAGGCTAGACCTGGTAGAAGACTCAGAGTCAGTGTGACTAGAGAAATAGTGTATTGCAGACTATCATGAAGCTGTACAAAACAGTTGATTTATGGTAGTAAGAATGTGCAAATGATTCTTTTACACACTGTGGCTTCAATTCACTTCTTCCTCCTGCACTTCCCATGAACTAACAGATTCTTGACAAGATGCTTAGTGGTCTTGAAATCAAGCCATTACAATCCCTGCCCTGAGAACTGCTGGCTTCAGGCCTAGTTCAAATCATCCAGTGACACAGTGGTGAAATTCAAATTTTTCTACTACTGGTTCTGTGGGCATGGCTTGGTGGGTGTGGTGTCACTTGGTGGGCATGGCAGAGGAAGGATACTGCAAAATCTCCATTTCCACCCCACTCCAGGGAAAGGATACTGCAAAGACCCCATTCCCACCCCAATCTGGGACCAGCCAGAGGTGGTATTTGCCAGTTCTCCGAACTACTCAAAATTCCCGGCTACCGTTTCTCCAGAACCTGTCAGAAACTACTGGATTTCACCCCTGCAGTGACACTATTTTAATATTGTGAATATTTTATGTAACAAATGTCTTTTTTTAGAGTGACTGGAAAATACCTCCCATGAATTTGGATTTTTTTCAGGAGTTGATTTCCAGAAAAATCACGGAATACTTGGTCAGCCCTTGGTCACTATTGTATGGCAGGGCCCAGAACCTTATTTTTCTTTCAGATGTTTTTAGACTCCAATTCCCATCAGCCTAACTACTATGCCAACAGTTTCTGTGGTGCAACAGCTGCTGAAGGACTGTAGATCCCCTAACTTTGTCATGCAGCAATGACCAAAAGATGAAACTGCACCATCTGAAACAGATCCCCAAGAAGGGACGCAAACTTTGTAAGATGGTCTGTTTCGAACCATCGTGTAATCTTGAGAATATCATATATCATGATCATTGCTGCAACCTGGATACATATCTAGCAAAAATGGTTTTGCATCTTTCCATGGTTTATCAGAAAATAATTCTTAAATATTCTCCTCTAGATTTCTTTAAAGGACACACTTTTCTGTTTTGCTTGAACAAAGCAAATCCCAAAGCAAGCTGTTATACTTGATTGGGGAACACAGATTTAAATTTAGGTTGATCAAGATATGATGAAAGCTTCATTTGCACTAATATTTTGAAAGGGAGTAAATCTATCCTCTTTTAGTTTATGATGGAATATTAGTAATGCCCTTGCTAAGTTGCATGAATGGCAAGTAGAGATAGCACAACTAAGAGTTCAGTTTGCTCAGAGGTATTGATTGAATATATATCAGGACAAATTCAATCTACCACCACCCCACTACTATTTTATAAAATCATCTCAAGATGACATGCAAATAAGAAATGAGTTCACTTCAGAATGAGAACATCCACATAGGAGGAAAATAGATTATATAAATAGTATCCCTTCCATTCCTCACGCTAGAGAACTATAATCTGACTGGGCTACAAGACAAAAGATGGCTGTATAATCTTGTACCTTAGTATTAGTAACCACTGTAAAATATACATGTATTACTGTATATACATGTCCCATATAACACCCTTACTCCGCCAACTGCCCTGGGTATCAATTTGTTTCCAGGTCTGATTCAAGGTGTTGGTTATCACCTATAAAGCCCTACATGGCACAAGACCATGTAGGTTACCTCCCGAACTGGTTTTGCCCAATCTCAGCAGCCAGTCTCACATGATCAGGCAGGGAAGATGTGCTACAGACCACATCAGTCAAAGAATTTTGACTGGTGGGGTCTAGGAAGAGAGACTTGTCTGCCGCTGCCCCCTGCTTTGTGGAACATCTTGTTCCCAGAGATGAGGAAAGTCCCCAATCTCTTGGCCTTCCACAATCATGGGGCTGGCTAATCCTTTGAGAGCTCCTCCCTGCCTGTAATAATCCAATGCTAAGTGGCCATTTTAGGATTCCTCCCTTTTGATGTTTTGATTATTCTATACTTTTGAAAATTTGAACCCTAATTTAATTTCTAATTTCTAATTTTATACATTATTCATTGGTTATATTATATTGTACAGAACCACCCTCTTTGAGGGAGATGGGTGATTTAGAAATATGAAATAAATATCGTATTTTGTGTCTGCACAGCTATGACTGCACAGCGTGTAAATTAATGCAGAATAAGAAGCAATCTTACCTCTACAATTCCTATTTTTCCATCAGAACACTTTGAAAAATGGTCCACAAAAGTTTTCATTTCTGGGGTTAAGCCCTGTAAATATAAAGCATGTTGATTATTAATTTTTTTAGGCAAGGACAAAAAAGGAAGCAAAATCACAATCCTGGAAAATTTGCCCAAATTCCAAAGCAATGAATTATTGCACTGCAGAGTAGACAAAGGCTGACCTCTAGACAGAGGCCGACCTTGTTAAAAAAGAAAAGGTGCAACCTAATTCATTAAGATATTAATGTTAACATTAAGAGACGCCTTGTTAAAAAAAAAAGAATTAAGTTCATGGATGGCTGAAAAATGAATTTATAAAGTGAAAAATTTCTGTTCAATTTTGATTAAATTTCAGATTAAGATTTAAATATGTAAAGAAATCTATGATTTAAAAACAAAGTCAGAATTCTTGTTCTATCTAGCTATAATGAATATTAGTCACTATTCTGTATTCTTGCCAATTTCACATTTCCAGGGTGTTCCCTTTACAGGATCTATTTTTGCCTCTTGACAAAGTATGTGAAAAGATTTACTCTTTACATTGAGTGTTCAAGAAAAGGTGATGATCTACTCCTTCCAGTGGTGGGTTGCCCCTGGTTCGGACCAGTTCGCAAGAACCGGTAGTAAAACTGGCAGGAGGCCCCGCCCACCGCCCTGGATGTCATCATCTGCGCATGTGCAGCAAGTGCGCAAGTGCAATCCCGTTGCGAACTGGTAGTAAAGGTAAGTAGAACCCCTAACCCCTTCAGTCATATGTACTTAACCAGGAGTATGCAGAAAATGGGTGACAATATCCATTCAGATGTACTTCTAAATTCACACAGCAATCCAGGGAGAGTGGGTCAGTCCATTGCCAAATAACTCTTTTTTTACATAAACTAATCATGCATATGACTAAAGACTGGTACAAGAAAACCATGAAACCATCAGCACAGCAGAACATAATCAGAAGTGATTGCTCAGTTTCTTGGGAAAACATCTATTTCCTTTCTGTTCAGAATGGGGTCAGTGGGAAGGTTTAATCTGCACTCAGTTTGGCTGGTACACTGTAAAAGCTCATTTTCTGCCTTGGGGTGAATCTGTATGAAGCTATGCTACATTAAGCTAGTTAGTGTTCCCTATGATTTTTAGTGGGTTTGCTCTAGGCGTAACTATGTCTGGATCTGACATGTAGTTATAGTATACATTATTACCAATGAGCATCATATGTTGCATGTGAATGCTGACAATTCTCAGACAAAGAGAATTCAGTTGCACAGTACTGGAATACTGAGAATATATGAATGCAGATAACCAGATGTTGTTGCATGATGGTATTAAGAGTATCACTTTACAATGAAATCTGTTCCAAATAAAGCTGCCTTTTGCAATTGAGTGATAGTAATTTGTCAATGCTGATAACATTCAAGTGGTGCTCCAGATGTTTTGGGAGTGCATCTAAGGTGCCTATTACTATTGGTACTATCTTTGCTTTCTTTTGCCATAGTTGTTCTAGTTCTATTCCATAGCCATTGCCATGTCTTGTTATCTGCTTTGCCTGCTAGGTTTTTGTTTTTTTTTAATGTTCAGGCCACCCAATACTTTGCCTTGCCATGTCTCTCTTCTATTCTTCATTTGGTTTCTCTTGTAGGACAGTTTGGTTTCTCTGTTATTCATTAAGCCTTCATGGTGTACCAGCTTCAGTGCATCTTATTCACTGTCCTTCAGATATTCTTCTTTAACTGTCTGGGGTACTTGCAACATTCATGCCTTCCTATGCTCATTGATATGATGATAGACGTGATTCATTATCATTATCTTTCTGGACTTCCTATCCAGAAGCTTTTAGTTTTGCTTGAGGCCAACCCCCTATTCTGGATGTGTAACTAATGACTGAAACTGCACAGGTGTTAATTGCCTTGATAGTATTGTTTGGACTTTATGATCTTTTTCACTCAAATGATGCCTTCACTTATAACATTATTATTATCATACTTGATCTCACAATCAGATGTTTATTTTGGATTTGTCCATCTAAGGACCTGGGATAGGCCAATGATGTTTCATGGTATTGTCACAGGATGTAAGCTGTTTCAAATAGCTACCTTTTGCAATTGAACGATGGGGATTTTGTCACCACCATTGACAAGTGGTGCTCCAGTTTTTTTGGTATCATACCTAACAAGGCACCTATTACAATTGGTACAATCTTTGCTGTTTTTTACCATGGATATTTTACTCCTAGCTGCATATCTTTTAATTTGTGATTTTTTCCAGTTCGTTCTCTTCTTTGTGTTCAGGTTCTTCAATGACCTGTATCCAGACTTCTTTTGTTTTGTTTTTCTTATCAACAATTGTTAAATCTGTTATTATTATTTTATGCTGTTTGGTGTATAATGTCACTGTATTATGCTATTACTGTATTATGTCACTGTTTTTATTGTGCTTCTTATTTGTAAACTTTTATAGTTCTATGCAGAAATACACAAGGCAGAAAAATAAATTAAAATTATTAACTTTTCAATCAACAATTCATATTCATTACAACTAAAGCATCATGGTTTCAATGTGAAATGCAGAATAATGACACGGGATTCTCATAGATCCTGAAGAGAAACTGTTGGAAGGTATAAAAATAGTATAATCACTTATAATTATTTATCAATGCAATGGTGAGCACTTGGAATTATCAGTGATTTGGCTATTTTGTGAACCTCGTATTGGAAAGTCAAATAAAAAGAAGGAGAGGTGAACAGAGATTTTTCCATTGTCCCTATAATTAAACAAATCTGAAATGGGACAAAGGCATCCAGAACTTAAGGCAATTAACTGTGGCATGAATGAAATTGACTCTGTGACTAAATGTAGCTGTGCAACTAGCTAATGATTAAATGTTAGTTCCAAGCTATGTTCATACTGTGACAATTTTACTGGGCACTTATTAATTAGATATAAACTTCATCAGAAAGCAAATTCTCAATAAGACATCTTCCTTAAACTAACATCATCTAACTAGATTATGATAGTGAACAAAAAAAAAATACCAGCTAAGATATTCATCATACAAGTTGTAGTCCTAAATCATCTCTAGAATGTTTCAGTATGAGGAGAGTTGTTGCAGATAAACCTTGCCCAGAAACCAGTAAAAAATAATTCTCAGCAATACTCAGATAAATATGTATTATATGCTATGAGTGTCAACAACTTCAACAACTTTTAAAAGTATCAAGTCACACATCAATTTATTTCTATTTTATTTTTCTTTCAAGAAAGCATTTTCAAACATCTACGTTAGACACATGGATTCCTAATAATTCCAATTGATCACCATTCAGTAGATATGCAAGTGTGTGAGAGTGTGCATTTTGGAAACTGTGTATCTGTGTATACTGTGTGCAGATCTGTTTCTTGGCCACAAAGGGGCAGAAACATATTTCAACCTATATAGTAAGGTTGTATCCTTACACTAAAAGACATTCCTTTATCCACACTTAAAAAAAAAAACACAGTGGAAGTAAACATTTCAATAGATGAGGAACCAAGATGGCGAAGCAATCAGAGTGCATGGTAATTTTCTATTTTTATCTTATATTATCAGACTAATCCATTTTTTTAATTACTGGTTCTGGTGCAAAACCGTATTTGACTAATCTCCAAACAACTAGCTGAGAAGAACTGTGTACACATTATCGCCAAGAGATTAACGCATGGGAAGGAGGAAGAAATGACAAAGAATGAATTCTGTCATACAGATATTGCTCAAATCATCTAAGCAACAAAACAGATGACATAATGGAATTTAAAAAGAAGGCGTCTGAAAACCAAAATGTAAGTAATAACCGCAACTACATCAGCATTATCACTAAACTCCTGGACATGCTTCAAACAGATATGAATTGTGACTTAACAAGATACAAGATGATAGTGCAGAGGACTTCTAACACTGAGGAACCAAATTCCCTTTAGATATAACAGTCTCCTGAGGCTTGTTCAATTGCAGCATCTCCTATTTAAAAAAAACTTTCAGGAAGAGATTTCTAAAAATGAGACTACAGAATTCACATCTAAGCAAAGCTCATTGATTGCATGGACTGCATTACTAATTTTTGACTATTTAACAGAAACAAAATTGAACGTGGATTTGCTGAAAAAGTCCCCTGATGCATTTACTCAATCCTTGCACAATAAATTGACTCACCTTGTTGAAGCAAGAAACCGTGATCCAAAAATGCTCATGTAATGCGAAACACAAGCTTTATAGCACGAACTGATGGAGAAAAAGGAACAGACTCCAAATAAATCTGCCCTCCAAACTTTGAGGCACAGGAGGACTGAAAATCAAGATCAAAGCAACCATGTGTTGCAAACTAATCAGATTTACTTACAAATCAGCTTTAATAGACTCAGCAGTAGATGATGAGGCTCAAGAAAGCAATATATTACTCCCTAAGTCAGCTACTTCTATGTCATTATTGTGCAATTGACTTACATTGGGTGAAATGGCTGCCTAGCAAGATGAATTGTACACAAATTCTGTTCACATTCAAGCAGTCTATAATCCCAAATATGCTTTTCAAAATTAATTCCATGCTGACCACTTTCCTCATATTTCCACTGTGTATTTTTGAGGCACATATCTCCCCACTCATTGAGCTATTACATCAAGATACTACCATACTTTCATTTTCAGAAATCAGGAATGGATGCTGCTGCCCCAGTTGCAAAGATAACAAATCAGTCCTCTTCTTGGGAGAAGAAGTTGCTTATTTAGATAAGCAACTTCAGGCAGACGGAGAAGGACAAATTGCAGCTGAACTGCTAGAAGCAGAGATTTGGATTCTATCTCAGCCTCATTTAATGGCACCTGGATATCTGATGTATCCTGCTCCAGTGCTGCAGTTGACAGCGCAGGAGTCGTGGGATATACAACCCCCCTCTCAGTGTTTCTCAGGAAATGCCTACAGCAATAATTTTGCCCAGCCCAACTGAATGACATTCAACCAATATTTACTTCCTTGGCTTTGATTTCCTGGAACATCACAGGATGGAAATCCAGCAATAAGGACCCATCTTTTCTGGCATATATTTCTAGTTATGACATACTTTTTTTTCCAGGAAACATTGTATGTGGCTAAACTGCTAGTCGAAGGGCTTAAGACAATTACATTGGAAGCTGTGCCTAGCAATGGACATGGAAGGCTTTGTGGGGGCTTAGGCATTCTAACATCTGCCTCATTACAAGCTCAAATAACTAGTTTACAGCTATCAAACTGGTATGCATTGGCAGCTCTCCTGCAATTCAGGAAGAGCCAGCTCTTCATGATTAATGAGTATATTCCACCTCTGCAAATATGATTACAGATGAAACAAGGGATAAAATATATACCTATGTGGGAGATTTAAGAGCTGCATTCCCAGTTGCATACTTAATACTAGTGGTGACTTTAACGTAAGAACTGGAGCAAACAATAAATCACTCTTTGCTAAACTCCATTGCCAGCCATTGTTTCCTGTAATAACTTCTATTTTACTCCACCAATCAAAGGATGTACTGTACACAATGACTGTAGAAGATGTTGTCCTATTTCAAACTTTTACAAAGCCATCTGGTAGTATTAAATGGGACCACCAGTGATGATTATCCAGTTAAGTTTACCCACTGGTCCAGTAGCAATACTTTCCTATTAGAATATGTTGGGATCTCCCAAAGCTTAATTCCCTATCGATCTAACTTTGTTACTTTGCATTTGAAAATTTTGGGCAGATTGTTTTTATCCTTTTACCACACTGCAACTGTGGCCCATGACCTTTGCCCTATTCATAACAAATGGACACCTCAGCATGCAGCAATAATCACCAACTTTGTTTGAGGGGAGGCAATCAAATCTTTTTACTCAGCCACAGTGGATAGCAAGATAATTGTAATTGTTCTGACTAGTTTCAATAGCCTAACAAATTATTCCAATCATTTTTAACTGCCCCCCGACCAATTACAGTTAGGCATGATCCAAGAACACGTCCTGTGACACTTACAATTCTCTAAATTGTCACCTAAAATTATTTTGAAACAAACAAAATTGAAATTTTGTTCAGTTTCTGACTAGTGAAAAAAAATTTTTTTTTAAAAAAAGTACAGTTAATCTATCAAAAAAAGAGGGGGGAATGCAATGTGGGTATTTGGTAACTCTTGATTGTGGTTGCCGGTGCAAAAAATGCTGCCATCTTTTGTGGAATGGTAATTCTATTCTTTTCCAATAGCACTAATAGATCTTCATTGCATACCATTTTCTTGCCCTACATGGTCAAACAGAGAATTCCCTGACCGACTTGGGTGTGACCTATCTTCCCCACTGAGCCTGTCACATGTTCAGAGATCAGAAATATAATTGAACAGTTTCAACTAGGTATAAAGCCCCAGGTTCAAACTTTATTATGTATGATAATAAATAATTTGGAATGGTGGATCTCAGTGCTAGCTTCACTTTTCACAGCAGTAGGTCATTCAGCCATGATAGCAAAGGATTGGGTCTTGACTATTATAATACCAAGAAGGGCAAACAGGATGATCCAGCTAACTACCGCCCAATCAGCTTGCTAAAACAGATTAGCACAATGTATGCCAAATATCTGTAGGAGGCAAAACTAATTGACGGGCTTGAATCTGAGGATATCCTTAGGGATGGACAGGCTGGGTTTAGAGCAGGACAATCAACATTAGAGTCAGTGTTGCAATACCTAGTACAACTCAGGACAATTCTTTTATGCTGCATTTATCAATCTCAGATCAGTTTTTGACACAAATTAAATTAATTGGTGTAGATTAATTAATTGGCATAAATAAATTTATTTAATGGGCATACATTAAAAAAATACCACAAATGACAAATGTCTACTCCTACTGCTCCTCAAAATGCATGAGAAAACTGATAAGACTGATGGTTAGGTGCAATAATCCAGGACATGTCACAAAAGAAATATCTGTAAAGAGGGGAGATAGACTGGACTGTGTATTGGTTACAGATTTATTCAACTAAGCCTTGGTAGTACAGTGGTCTAAGGCACCCTGTTATTAAGCTGGTTATTAAGGCCAGCTGCCTGCAATTACTGCAGGCTCGAATCTCGCCAAGGCTCAAGGTTGACTCAGCCTTCCATCCTTTCTAAGGTAGGTAAATTGAGGACCCAGTTGTGGGGGCAATAAGCTGACTTTGTATAAATATACAAAAGAATGAAGGCTATTGCTGAGCACATTGTAAGCCGCCCTGAGTCTCCGGAGAAGTGCGGCATATAAATCAAATTAAAAAAAAAAAATTATGTAAACTCGTTAATTCTTCACCTAAGTAGCCCTACCTTCCATCCCCCTAAATTAGCCCAAAGACATATCAGTTTACTTCTGTATGCCAATGAGGCAATAATCCTGTTATTAACCTTCATTGGCCTTAAAAGAGCTCTGAGATCATTTATGCATCACTGCACTGAGGAGGAACTAATAATAAATTATGCTAAGACCAAGATCCTTACTTTCTCTAAATGCCCAAAATAGAGAAGCTGGAATTTAGGTGGGAAGTCCATTGAGCAGGTTAAGATGTTTAGATATCTAGGAATAGTTTTTCAAGCCTCACCTGGCTTGAAAATGATCACCTGGATTATGTTTCCCACAATGCACAGAGATCTGCATCAACTACATAAACTTATTATTTTTCCAGAGGACCACAATTTATTCCTGCTGCAATTAAGTTTTTTGAAGCTAAAGCCCAAGCAAAATTGCTATATGGGGCTCAATTAAGACCATAAAACAGTATGATCACCATAGGAAAGATTCAAACAAAATTTCTAAGAAGTATCTTCCAGGTTACCTGCTGTGTTCCAAATGCAGTACTTCGATAGGAAGTAGAAGTCATTAAATTCGAAACTAATCTCTGGGTAAATATCTTTACCTACTGATTGAAAATACTTCACCATTCTAGCATACTGGCCCATTTAATATTGACAGACAATTACATGTATTCCTGAGAAATAGCAATCCAAAGGAAAGTAGGATAAACCTTCAAGTGCTTCAACAACCTACTAAAAGGATGCAAATGACCAGCTGTCTACAAGGAATGTAAATCCTTCCATTCCCCCATTATCGTGTCAGAGCTGAAGAAGCTTCTTGGATGAGAAGCAAAATGTCTTCAAAAGAAAAAAACAAGAAAGTCCAGTTGCCTCCTGAAAAAGCACCTTTGGATGAGCCTCTATGGTTCTCCAGTGATGCCATCCTAAAGTTAGATCAAGCCAGATCAATACTAAGGCAAAGAATCTTAGATATAGAAGATCAAACAGAAGTTGTTGCTTTTTCGCACAACATAACTGGAAATCCAAATATTAGTCTAAACCAGTTTCATATTTATATCATATCACAGCACCCCAATTTAGGAGAGTTTTATCCTTAGCTCCATTTAATGTTTTCCCCACAGCTATCCTGCAAGAGAAGTATAGGAAAACCCAATATGAAACCCAATACTGCCGCTGTGATACGGGTGCTATAGAAACCACAGCCCATATTCTTCTGTATTGCCAGTTCTACAGGGACTTTCACAAGAAGTTGATCACACCTGTTTTATTCAGATTGCAAGGCACTCTGATAGCTTTTATCTGCATATATGTTAAATAAGAAAGATAAATTTAAATTCTCTAAAAGTTGCAAAAATATGCATAAGGTTTACTCACAAATGGTTGTTAATAGTTTTTGTTGTTAGGGGATAGCATGCATTTCATTGATTGTATTTTTATTGGCAATGACTGGAATAAAGTGTTTCTGTCTTTTTTAAAAATGCTGTAAGCTACTTAATATCAACCCAGAGTTGGAATGATCTAGTTGAGGGATGATTCACGAGATTTTGCTTTTTATCTATATTTTCCAGCCACAACTTTTCCATTTGTCCAGTTTTATCCATTTGCATTTAAGCTGATAATGTGCATGGCCAAACATGTATATTAGTCATAGTCATCCATTACTGGAGCATGGTTACTGGAGATTATTATTATTATTATTATTATTATTATTATTATTATTATTATTATTATTATTATACACAAAAATGACACTATACACAGCAAACAAGATAACCATGCTGGATTTCGTATCCCAAATCACTAGTCGAACACTTCCCAAGCATTTAGGACTGTGTGATGTATCAGCGGATTATGTGAGCAGATCCCAGTAAGGTGGCTTTCTGCAGCTGACCAATGGTGATCTTGTCAGCGCCAATTGTTTTTAAGTGCTTGCCTAGGTCTTTCGGCACAGCACCCAGTGTGCCAAGTACCACTGGAATCACCTGCACTGGTTTATGCCAGAGTCTCTGCAATTCGATTCTCAAGTCCTGATATCTGGTGACTTTTTCAAGTTGTTTCTCATCGATTCTGCTGTCACCAGGCATCATCATCATCATCATCATCACCACCATCATCATCATCATCATCATCATCATCATCATCATCATTATTATTATTATTATTATTATTATTATATTTATATGCCACCTAACTCCCAGCTACTCTGGGCATTTTCCTATTCTTATTATATTTACAAAAAAAGAAAAAATGCCCATCTTAACCTACCAAGCCAGCTTTCTGCCGTGCCTGCTGCAGTTCTTGGATAAAACCCTGCAGTTCGTTTCCATCCATGTATCCATTGCCTGTAACACCAAGAGAGAGAACACAATGGTTACAACTCTAAGTGATTTCTCTCTTTCCTCCCTGCCGGTGTATAACAATACTTGCAAACTAACAGAGCAATCCTATGCTTAGCTCAAAAGTCCCACCGAATGCAACCACTACTTCGGGAAATACTTCTAAGGGTTGCAGTCTTTTGGTTTCAGCCTCCCCGAGAAGAATGCCCCGTTTCCTTCTAGGTTACGCGACTGTGTTTTACGGGAGGCGCTTCGGACTTTTGGAGGCTTTCAGCTGCCGAACGAAGGAAGGGTAAATAGCTAGAAGTCCCAGAAGCCATCAGAGCGACCGACCGACCGCTCGGAAGCTGGTCCGCCCTCGTCCTTCCGAAAACGTCGGTTTTCTCAGACGTCCCCTCGTTTCAGATGTAAAGAGGTAAAAGTTGGAACTTGCGCCGACAAAGTTTCCTGCTTACAGTAAAGCGAGGAGGAGGAGGAGGAGGAGGAGGAGGACGCCGAGTCCCTCGCCTACTTTTGCAGTCGAGCGTTCTCAACCACCCCCAGCCCTCCCTCGCTCCCTCGCTTAGTTCCGAGCCTGACGGGGTTAGGAGAATGGGACAATGCTGGAATCAATCACCGTCAGCGTCGTAATGGCGCCAGATCGCGAAAAACTGGCTTGCCGAGACCGTCGCTTCTTGCAGGTAAGCCTCCGCGGTCATGGCGCGAGTCTTGGGCAACCGGCGGGCGCAAGGGAAGCAGGAAGGTCAATGGCGCGGTTGCTGGGTGCCTCTGTCCGCGGTGCTGACCGGCTCGCTGCCCGGAGAAGTTCTCCTCGTTCTCAGCCGAGGACTCCCTATTTATCCACTTTTTTTGCCTCCGAGCTCCGCCCTTGGAGCGCTCCCTCCCTTCTCCCACCGTCCCTCTCTCTCTCTTTCCTCTCTCTCTCTCTTTTTTCTCTCCTCTCTCTCCCCTCTCTCTCTTCTCTCTCTTTCTCTCTTCTCTCTCTTTTTCTCTCTCTCCTCTCTCTTTCTCTCCTCTCTCTCTTTTCTCTCTCTCTTCTCTCTCTTCTCTCTCTTTTTCTCTCTCTCTCTCTCTCTTTTTCTCTCTCTCCTCTCTCTCTTTCTCTCTCTCTCTCTCCTCTCTCTCTCTCTTCTCTCTCTTCTTTCTCTTTTTCTCTCTCTCATCTCTCTTTCTCTTCTCTCTCTCCTCTCTTCTCTCTCTTCTCTCTCTTTTTCTCTCTCTCATCTCTCTCCTCTCTTCTCTCTCTTTTTCTCTCTCTCCTCTCTCTCTCCTCTCTCTCTTTTTCTCTCTCCTCTCTCCTCTCTTCTCTCTCTTCTTTCTCTTTTTCTCTCTCTCATCTCTCTTTCTCTTCTCTCTCTCCTCTCTTCTCTCTCTTTTTCTCTCTCATCTCTCTCTCTCCTTTCTCTTTTTTCTCTCTGTCTCTCTTCTCTCTCTCTCCCCTCCCCTCCCACTCTCACTCTCTCTCATTGATCCTCCTCTCTTGCAAAGCAGGAGGGCCTCCATAAAGTCAACTCCCCTCCCCACCTTTTACATCTTTAATGCTATAAAAAAAAAAGTAATGAAGAGCATCCAATTCCGGAGTCTTTCCACTTTCCTCCCTACAGAACCACATTTTCCACCTTAAATAAATGAAAACAACCCAAAGGTCCATGTGGCCCAATATTCCTTCAACTTGGTGTTCTCCAGATGTGAGAGAATGTGACCTTCACATCTGTGGGCCAGGCTGAGGTGCGTTTAAATACACCCATTGACCATGCTTCTGGAATGACAGGAATAAAAAGGCCTGTTAAAGTTTTCCACCCAGTCAGGGGATAGAGGAATTGAGTGGATAGAGGAATTCAGCAGGCAATTTATCTGAGTATTTTCCACCAAGAGTAAAATAATTCATCTAGCAAGTTGTCTTGATTGCAAAATTTCCCACTAGAGGTGATAACATCATTATAACTGAAAAAGACTCTGAAAGAACTTTCTTCAGGAAATTATTCCTCAGTATTTAATTTTCAATATCACACATGCACAGCTTGGCTGCATAAAGAACTCTACTTTCCACCCGTGAATTTTTTTCCAAAATTTTCTGCTTCTTTGAAATACAATTTAAAGCAAATTCTCTTTCTGTAAACCAAATGAAAACACAGGACAATGTGTTTATCTGGCAAGAAGAAAATATAAACCTTGGTTATTCCAGCTCCAATGAGCCAAGAATTTAAAATGGATAATTAGATAATAACTGTTGATATCGTTCTCTCTATGACTTATGTCATTTATCTTATCCCCAATCAGGTATTATCCAAATGAGTTGGATTTCAGCTGCCATTACCTTTAACCAGCTCAGTGTCCCTACTGGCCTTGTTCATATCATTCCAGCTTCCCCATTGATTTTGCTTGTTGCAAATGGTGATCACATAACTGCAGGATGCTATGACCATCATAAATGCATGATGGTTGCCAAGCACCTGAATCAACATCTCATGAGTTTGGCGATGCTGTGACAGTCAGAAGAAATTGGAGGAGAGATCACAAATCATTTTTTTTTCAGTACAGTTCAAACTTCAAATGGACACTAAAGAAATGGTTGGTAAATAAGGATTACTTATAGCTCATTAAAAAAAAAAGCTCTTTTTGACCTTGTCCTCCCAAATCATTATTTGTAAAACACTAATTCATTGTGAGAAAGCAGGAAGGAATAATTATTCCACAGTGATGAATTCAGAATAAATGGCATGAAGATGTTTGTGCAGTCTCAGATAATTTATGAACCATAGGAATTTAAGGCTAATACATATGTATTCCACAACATTTGCCACATATGATTAAAAGAAGTAATTGGAAATCATTCTGAGTCAAAATCTTTGAAAACCATCAAGTAAATCTGCTTGTTTTATATTTAACAATCATCCCAGCTGTGCAGAGTGCTACTAAATATATATTTTCATTCAGCCCAACACTTTTCCCAACATAGAAACTTTCCCAGGAGAATTTCTGACACCTGATTAAGAAAAAGCAAAGGAAATTGTTGGCCAACAAGTGTTTAAATCCATAGACTGCTTTAAGAAACTTTGCAACATATTTTGCTGATTAAAAGGCATCTTGGTTCCCACAGAGGCACAGAAATGGCAGGGAATTAACTGTCAGTTGTGCCAGCAAAGCCTAAGAGAGAAGTACTCTCAATGGATAATGAAATCATGTTTGTCAGAAGACTTTCTGAGACCAATCAATGTGCCTGAAAGACAGAAAGTTAGAAAGCTAAGAGATAGTACTGGATGATGAGGACCTGTCCTGTGTGATGACCTTTTATATCTATCAAGTAATTTCAACTTCTCAGCACACTGCAAACTTTCATCTTGTAGCAGTAATCTTAGTAGAAATTCAAGGTTGAATCAGTTTCCATTGTCATCTTCCTTTTGTTGATATTGGTAGTAGCTACCGGCAGTGCATGGTGAACAACAAGACATGCATTGTCTTCCATTGGTCTCTCTGATCCTTTATTCAGAGAAAGCTGGATGAGTTCAGATCAATTATTCTTAATTATACCCATACTGAAGAGTGAACCTTTTTCAGAATGAGATATTTGTCATAGGTAATAATTAACTGTGGTAGTGTTTCCTACAGAATTCACATATTTCAGTGTGTTTTTTTTTTCCTTTCAGGGATGAATAAAATGCAATTTTACATTTTATGTACTTGATTGATCTGCAGTAGAACTATTAGTTTAATTGTTACATTAATCAGCCCAAATTATAGTCAATTAACCTGTGGAATCCAATGTTTATTGGTAAATGCTAATTGATTTAGTCTTTTGTTTATTTTTTTAAAATTATTTTATTTCTATAGTGAAAGTATAGGAAGAAATGGAAAATAATATATTGAAACAGCATTGCAGAGAATATTAATAATCTCTGAATTAAATTTGCATTGCAGTTCAGCATTAACTGTTTAAAATAATTGGGTATATTCTATAAACATAGACATATTCATTTATGGAATGTCCGGTGTAATAAATTAAAACAGAAGTGTTGCCACTATGAAAATCAAACTGTATATCAGTCTGACCAAACAAAGCATCTACATATGAGTTTGACTACAGCTCATTTGTACCTTGAAAGTTCTACTATGTGGGAAAGATATGAATTATACTTAATAATGGGATGTTAGGGATAATGATGCAGCAAAGGTGAATATTTGCATTCATGCATGTGAAAATGAATCTGTACTAGTTCTCTTATATTGTGGGAATCACAACTCTTGAACTCTTCCACACTCCCACTGCTGAGTAAAGAAATCAAGTTTATGTTCCTTATAGAGCCATATAAAGAGATGAACCAGGGTATGTTGGCTGATTAAAACTAATTTTGTTCATGGACATAAAGGAACCAGACATTTCCATTGGAGAAATAATTGTTTGAGTTACAAATCTCCATTGAAATAACTTTTAATAACCTTAGAAAAAAACCATGATATTTGGAAGGCCGCAAATTCAACTTGTACTGTATTTTAGGAGTAAGCACATTAAGCAAATATGAAAGATAAATCAAAACATATATGGGCAGACCCCAAAATGAGCAGATTTCAAAGATTCTGAGAACAAACTAAGTCTTAATGCTTAAACACAATTGCTGCAGGGGAAGGGAAAGAAGCAAAATGTAAGCTCCAGTATGGAACAGGATTAAGACATGGCTTAACTTTTTCCTATGTACTACTTCCTCAAAAGAAATTACATTAGTTATTAAAGATTTATGGGCAATAGAGAACAAACAGAAAGATAAAATAGTATCATTGGTTATTATTTCCACACCATTACTATTTTTATAGGAAAAATTGTATATTAGAAGTTGCATTGTGTTACTTTAATCTTCATTAGGAATCATAAATTTGGAACATGGATATAGCGATTATTCTTCATCATTGAATCTAGAATAAATAACTGATAGGTGGTATATTTTTTGTGTATGATCTATAATTGAGTACTGTACTTTTTAATGTTTCTTTATTCCTCTTTTCAGTAACTGTCTTTCATTCATTTTCCTAGCTAGCAAGAGAGAGAGCAAAGTACCAAACGGTGAAATAATTATCTTCTACAAATAGCAAAAGCTCAGTGTTATCTGTTTCCATGGACTAAACTAATCTATAGTCATGTTTCCATGGAGAATGGTTCCACTTTCATTATGACCATTGAACATCCAGGCATCCAAACTATCCAGGAGAAATTTGCAAGCACTTGATAAAGGTGTTTCTGAAAAATCCCTCAAAAAAATGTGATGGATTGAGAGAAGGAACATGAACACTTTAGAACAAGGCCAGTGGGGAGAAATAATCTTTAACATTATATTTCATATTGTCTTCACATAGATTTCCCTCATGTTTGTGCCATCCATTAACCTACTTCCAATTCCAACTCATTTTTGGATTTCGCAGCCAGTGTTCCACTTTGAGGGAAAGCTGGCTATAGAAAGTTTAATGCATATACATGGGCAATGTGTAATTCCATTAGTATCAACGGCACTTCCTATTACTATGATTTCTATTTCCCGGTCTCTCCAAAATAACTGGCACTGATCCATAATGGTTTTTATTTCTCCAATCTCAAAATGTTAAGAACATAGTTCTTCATAGTCAGTAGTTTTCACTCCTTCCAGTTGACCAATAGGACAAAATTTCAACAATAGCAACACAATCAACACCACACTTCAACCCTGACACTATCCATCCTCAAATTAAAAAAACAAGGAAGTATGCAAGCTGTTTTCCCACAAATCTTAGTTATACCAGTAGTTATATCTCTTTATTTTGCAAAGGCAAAATAATAGAATATTATCAGAAAGAGTCAGTCAAA